AGTGCTTCTCTCAAACAATTCCCAGCCCTGGACTTGGTGAAGCGGCTGGATGAAACTGCTGCTGCCCAAACATCAAAGAACAATGACTATATTATGCCATCAGAACTCTATTCATAGTTTGTCATTCATCAAATTTCTCATTTTCCCTTCACAATTTCACTATTTTCTCAGATATCCTTATACTCATCCCATTCTCACAATACTACACATATCACATCCCCCTTAAGATCAGGGTCAGGTAAACCCTGTAGGTCAACTCTTCTACACCCAGCGCTACGCTATCACCGAGGCAACCAGCGATATCGCCATGGTAACTATAGTCTTAGTGGGGTTATGCACTGTTGTCATAGGTAGGTTCCCCATGTGACAGTGGCTCTAGCAGGCTGCTCTAGCAGGCATGGGTGTATGCTACTAACCAATTGTGTCATGATGAATTCCTACCCCTCACAGCTAGCGACAAGCAGTTGCAGGGAAGATCCCCGCCACTACTTCAACAGGAGATGGCTCCAAAGCATGCCTGGAACAAGCCATATCGAGGTTGCAAGCCACCCCTCTCAGCAAGAAATCCGAAATTTCAATGGTGGAAGACACACTATGAAGAGAATTTCAAAAAGTATGTTTCGCGGAGCGATCGCTCAACCTAAGTAATTCAAACTTTGCAGGATGGTTCAGACGTACATGCTAGGCATGAAACCACAGGGGATGATATCATAGCTGACACACAGAGTCACACACACAGCAGATTCGTGTGCACAGATACTAAATTAGTGGACGTCATCATCTTCCGGGGAATCCCACTGATTTCAAATGTACTATGACGTGCTATTTCGCCTGACGTACTCTACTATCAGTATAGCGTGGTCAACCAGCTGTATGCTACCGCCGATAACAGCCAGTCAACCGGCTCTACGCTACTACTCACATCAGCCAGCCAACCAGCTCTATGCTAGTATCAGCTCGGGTAGATCAGCCACTGCTTCACTATCACAGTCATCGGTGGTTGATCAGCGCTACGCGACGACCGGCATCGGGGATGGGTTGGTCAGCGCTACGCGACGAACGGCATCGGGGATGGGTTGATCAGCGCTCCGCTACTGCCGGCACCGGGGATGGATTGATCAGCGCTACGCTACTACCGGCATCGGGGGATGGGTTGATCAGCGCTACGCTACTACCAGCATCGGGGATGGGTTGATCAGCGCTACACTACTGCCGGCATCGGGGATGGGTTGATCAGCGCTACGCTACTACCGGCATCGGGGATGGGTTGATCAGCGCTACACTAATACCGGCATCGAGGATGGGTTGATCATCGCTCCGCTACTACCGGCATCGGGAATGGGGTTGATCAGCGCTACGCTACTACCGGCATCGGGGATGGGTTGATCAAGCGCTACGCTACTACCGGCATCGGGGATGGGTTGATCAGCGCTACGCTACTACCGGCATCGGGGATGGGTTGATCAGCGCTTCGCTACTACCGGCATCGGGGATGGGTTGATCAGCGCTACGCTACTACCGGCATCGGGGATGGGTTGATCAGCGCTACGCTACTACCGGCATCGGGGATGGGTTGACCAGCGCTACGCTACTACCGGCATCGGGGATGGGTTGATCAGCGCTACCCTACTACCGGCATCGGGGATGGGTTGATCAGCGCAACGCTACTACCGGCATCGGGGATGGGTTGATCAGCGCTACGCTACTACCGGCATCGGGGATGGGTTGATCAGCGCTACGCTTCTACCGGCATTGGGGATGGGTTGATCAGCGCTACGCTACTACCGGCATCGGGGATGGGTTGATCAGCGCTACGCTACTACCGGCATCGGGGATGGGTTGATCAGCGCTACACTACTACCGGCATCGGGGATGGGTTGATCAGCGCTATGCTACTACCGGCATCGGCCGCTATACCACCACAGCACGGTTCTACTGCCTGCCACTGGAAGTCGTCACCTCGCGTTTCAACCCAACCGATGGAGCTAAAAGTTAAGTACTGCTGTTAATGATCCATGCATGTCCTTTTGTGTTTTGCACATGTGTACTTGCACTACTCATGTGACTTCTTCATTGTGAGTGGGAATATTGGACTGGTGGGTGGGTGATTGACACAATACGGATGAATTCTGAGCCGAAGTAATCAATTCCAATTGCAGTAAACTTTCAGCTGTGTAATTATTTCACGTTTTTTCTTTATCCCTTTGTGTTTGCTACCTTCACGTCACTCCTACACTGTCACATGCAATGAATGCAGACACAATTCCTGTTTCACATATCAGTCTCATTGTCAACCTTGATAATTATGTGTTTCAATGACCTGCAGTCTGGTAAACTTTCCTTTGGAAACATTTGCCAGTCATTCATTTTGTATTCCTGTTCATCTCCTTCAGGCAACACCATCCACTCTCCGCAATCTTTGCCATCGACATCAGACGCCGCTCCATACCGGGGGTGGAGTCATCCAAAGAAGCACTTCCACCTCAAATTTAATCCAGGTAAATATGTAGAAAACGATATTGAACGCTTCATTTTCTTGCCCACGGCTTTCAGTAGTGTTCTTGCCCCCCCCCCCCCCCCTCCTGCCTGCCTAACCTAGGGAGAACTTCACATCACGTGACAAAACTCATCAACTTCATTTGTGCCCTGTGCATGATAGACACAGGGTTATATGCAACCCCGCTTTGGATTCAACTGTCTTGCGGTCACTTTGTATTTTTCATACTTTTTTTCCAGTTTAACTTATTGAACCATGCCATGTGATGTGAAGTTCTGCATCGGGGATGGGTTGATCAGCGCAAATCTACTACCGGCATCGGGGATGGGTTGATCAGAGCTAATCTACTACCGGCACCGGGATGGGTTGATCAGCGCTACGCTACTACCGGCACCGGGATGGGTTGATCAGCGCTACGCTACTACCGGCATCGGGGATGGGTTGATCAGCGCTACGCCACTACCGGCATCGGCCGCTATACCACCACAGCATTGTTCTACTGCCCGCCACGGGAAGTCGTCACCTCACGCTTCAAAACAACCGATGGAGCTAAAAGTTAAGTACTGCTGTTAATGATCCATGCATGTCATTTTGTGTTTTGCACATGTGTACTTGCCCTACTCGTGTGACTTTGTGGTGACTTTAGCAGTTCCCATACCTGTAACTTTTCCGTTTTCACTCCTGGGTTTTCCGTAAGCGGTGACTTTGATTTTTATGGCCATTTCCCGGAATAATAATGTGTACGCTACTTCTGGTTCAGATTCCAGATTGTACGCATATATCCCATCATGCATCCTAGTATTTCGCCAGGCATTTATACCGTAGCGTATCTGTATATAGGACATATACACACTGTCACTGTACTATGTCATTACTACACATGTACACCCTTTTCCTTACTGGCCAAGACATTCTCAACCTAGAGCTTTAGGCCAGTAGATAGTTTGGTTTCATGGAAGGCAGTTGCCTTTCTATCTCTCTTTCATTGCTTTGTCAATATTACAGTAATAATACAACTCTCTCGATTTACGCCATTTGTGTGCGTTTTAAGAGTTGTGCTAGGGCTAGGACCCTACATTGGTGACCCCGTTCTATTTTTTTTGCAGTGTTGCGTTTGTGCGCTGATCTCGTTCGTAGTTCTGGATCGAGTCTGTCATCGTCTATATCACAGTACCGTCCACACCATCTGAACATGTCGAATCTTGTCAACCCACAACGCGGTACAGGTGCGGGCCTTGGCCGGGCTAACGCACTTTCTATGTCTCTGTCGGCACAGCAGCGCCCGCGCCCCGGCTAGAACACAGACCAAGTGCAACCAGCAGCCGTTCATGCCGTTGCCGTTGATCAGCGCTACGCTACTACTACCGGCATCGGGGATGGGTTGATCAGCGCTACGCTACTACCAGCATCGGGGATGGGTTTATCAGCGCTACGCTACTACCGGCATCGGGGATGGGTTGATCAGCGCTACGCTACTACCGGCATCGGGGATGGGTTGATCAGTGCTACGCTACTACCGGCATCGAGGATGGGTTGATCAGCGCTACGCTACTACCGGCATTGGGGATGGGTTGATCAGCGCTACGCTACTACCGGCATCGGGGATGGGTTGATCAGCGCTACGCTACTACCGGCATCGGGGATGGGTTGATCTGCGCAACGCTACTACCGGCATCGGGGATGGGTTGATCAGCGCTACGCTACTACCGGCATCGGGGATGGGTTGATCAGCGCTACGCTACTACCGGCATCGGGGATGGGTTGATCAGCGCTACGCTACTACCGGCATCGGGGATGGGTTGATCTGCGCAACGCTACTACCGGCATCGGGGATGGGTTGATCAGCGCTACGCTACTACCGGCATCGGGGATGGGTTGATCAGCGCTACGCTCCTACCGGCATCGGGGATGGGTTGATCAGCGCTACGCTACTACCGGCATCGGGGATGGGTTGATCAGCGCTACGCTACTACCGGCATCGGGGATGGGTTGATCAGCACTACGCTACTACTACCGGCATCGGGGATGGGTTGATCAGCGCTACGCTACTACCGGCATCGGGGATGGGTTGATCAGCGCTACGCTACTACCGGCATCGGGGATGGGTTGATCAGCGCAACGCTACTACCGGCATCGGGGATGGGTTGATCAGCGCTACGCTACTACCGGCATCGGCCGCTATACCACCACAGCATTGTTCTACTGCCCGCCACGGGAAGTCGTCACCTCACCCTTCAAAACAACCGACGGAGCTAAAAGTTAATTACTGCTGTTAACCTCTTTAGCGCGCATGCATTTGACACTGCCCCACGCAGTCAAAATTGGGCAAAATTGAGATTTTTGAAAATTCAGTTTATTGACTTCTGTCCTGATCACACAGGCCTATGAGGTTCAGAAACGATGAAAACAATGATATTTACAGGATTTAGAGGGATATGTACACGGAAAGGGAGTAATTGAAAAAACCCGAAATCTCAAGATTTTGACAGAAATAAATGAAAAATTAAAACTTCTCGCATGTGTGATAAATTCTGAAACATGGAGTGGCACATAGGCCAGGCATGTCCACGCAGTCCAGGCAGCAGATTGTGACCATTTTTCTAACCCCATTGTGGGAGCATACGACACACCGGCGCTGCGACTTGCCCTCAGGCTTGCCGCAAGAGGCAGGTACGGGTGCGGGGTAGTGACCCTTGCGCCCACCAAGCCTGGAGGACACAACTAGGCCACGAGCAGTGGCAGGAGTGGCAGGAGTAGCAGGTGTGGCAGTAGCAGCGGCAGCAGCAGCAGGGACAACTGGTGTGGTAGGTACAGGGCCAGCAGCATCCGCAGGAGCAGGGTTGGCAACAGCAACATCATCAGCAGCGGCGGGACCCGTGCCATCCGCAAGCAATGCAGATAATACAGATATAACATATTCATGGTGTGGCATACTCTTGGACTTTTTATATAATATATATGAATTCAATAATGCTTCTTCGATAAAATGTGCACCTATTTTTTTGTACCACTTCATGGATTTTCTCAATGCACTGTAGTACGACAGAAGAGCATCATTGCGATCCACACCGCCCATGTACTGATTGTATTGGTGAACAAGGTTGAGTTTGTGAACCCGTTTCCTGGTGCGGTCGCGTTTATTCGTTGCAATAACATTAGGCTTGAACAAATTGGTGAGAAAATATACTTCTTTGGTGTCCGATAGTTTTACAAATAATTTACTGCCCATTGTACGATATGCAAACGATCCGCGTTTCTTCAACTTGAGGTTCACCAACCGCTTTGGAAGGCCACGCCTATTCTTTCTAATTGTTCCACACACTCCGGTCTTCCTGGTCTCCAAGTATTCAGCCAGCTCAATACTAGAATAAAAGTTATCTATGTATACGTTGTAGCCTTTGTCTAAAAATAATGGATCTAATAAATGGACAACTACGGCACCAGATTTGCCGACTTTCTCTACTAAGCCAGGCTGATAGGCATGATCATCTCGGCCAACATAAACAAAAAAGTTAGACATATAACCACTAGACTCACACAGAGCATATATCTTGACACCAAATCTTGCTCGTTTCGAGGGTATAAACTGCCTAAAATCTAGTCTACCCTTCCATGGCACTAATTCTTCATCAATAGAGATATGTTTATACGGAATGTACACGGTCTGAAATTTATCCTGGAAAAATGTAATCAACGGCCGAATTTTCCTAAGCTTGTCGGTTCTAGCCGTCTCGTCTTCATTGTTTGCAAAGTGCAGAAAACTTGCAATACACATCCATCGGTCGCGCTTCATCGAGGCGGGGAATAAAGGGGTGAAAATCAGAGGGTTCCTGTTCCAATAGAGATCGATTTCTGGCTTCCAAATAAATCCCATCAGCAAAAATAGAGCAAAGAACACTTTCATTTCTTGTACGCTAACGTCTACCCATTTCCTAAATCTGCTACGAGCTGGGAGTGTGTCACGGTGTGCATTTAGATATTGCTGGGCAAATCGATTGGTCTCAGTGCAGAGCAATTGCCAAAATTGTAAAGTAAAAAACAGGCAAAAATAATGATATGGCTCAGCATTTTCTGGCACTGGCACCTTGATACCGGGCTGGGCAGTGAACGAGTCTTGCAAGGGCTGGTTTTCTTCCATCTTCCATTGCCCTAATACATCACAACACGAATAATGTAGGAAATATCAGGCCACATGATGCCCTACAGTGTAGGAAGGCTGATGTACGTCTCAAATACTCTGGAATTTAGGCAACATTTTGTTTGAAAATTCTCCAGTTACGCTATGCATAACGCCAAACAGATCTTGAACGATGGCCAGGAATATTACAGTAAGACTACTTTCAACAAAGGTACAAACGCACGTATAATAGTTTTACTCAGCTCAAAGTGCAAACACAGCGTACTCAAATTCACACGAACAAATAAATACTATTGAAAAGATAATTACCTTCGCTCCCATCGTCTCCTGCGGCAAGCTGCTCCTGGATGTGGACATGCGACCTCTCGGACGCCTGTTCATCATCGTCGCTCTCCGTGCCACTAGTACTACTGCTGCTACTGCTGTCACGGACGTCCGCCGGCTGCGCTTCATTCGCAACATCGATGTCCGCGTGCTCCGCGACGTACTCATCGACACTGGCGCTTGCTCCGCCACTCACATCAGGCGCAGTTTCGTTCTGAACTCTGGCCCTTGCTGGCGTCCATAGACCCTCCTCGTCGCTGTCGCTACTCACTGACGGCTCCACATCGCTGTCTGAACTCAGAAACAGCTCGTGGAGCGCTTCGTCCACAGTTCTTCCTCTCGCGCGGCGCAGCATTTTCAACCAAAATGTTCTCGCCTGAAACTATTCCCCGTGCGTCTCCTTTCGTTCGATTTTTCCCGCCTCGAATCACGTGCCGGTTCCAGGCAGCCCCCAGCAGCCCGCGAACAGCCAGCGGTCCACGACAGAGCCACTGGGACTCGATACGGACCCCACGATCACGATAGGCAGCTTCGCTCTACAGCGTCGTACTAGTACGACGGTCGTGGGGCATGCAACTAATGTGCGTCGTACTAGTACGACGCTCGCGCTAAAGGGGTTAATGATCCATGCATTTCATTTTGTGCCTTGCACATGTGTACTTGCACTACTCGTGTGACTTCTTCATTGTGAGTGGGAATGTTGGACTGGTGGATGGGTGATTAACACAATACGGATGAATTCTGAGCCGAAGTAATCAATTCCAATTGCAGTAAACTTTCAGCTGTGTAATAATTTCACGTTCTTTCTTTATCCCTTTGTGTTTGCTACCTTCACATGTCAGTCTGTTCTATTGAAATACCAGTAAAATTATTGGACAGTGGCTTTCTTTTCGGCAAGGATCTAAACATCATGTCATTGGTCGTATTTCTGCCATTTGTTTCTTATGTTGTTCATAAAGGAAATTCATCCGACACTGACGCGTTGACAAGAGGATGGAAATGCGCACATCACGGTGATGAGCGTCATGGTGAAGATGACGATGTCAGCGGCTGATGGAATAGCAAGTATCTTGTTGCTATGTACAATTGCTATGGGTTTTATTGTGCCATTTGTTGCAAAAGAAGGACCCACGAACGGAATTCAAACTCAGCAGCCCTGTATTTCCGGGACAATTCCCTACCGAATCGGCTGCCGGGGATCACACATACCCATGCCTCATTCTTGCCACACACTGGATTGCCTTTTCCTACAGTGAACATATTATGACAAGTTTTACAGGTCATGCACCTGCTGATGCCCATGTATTTGTTTGTGTCTTCCTGGTGCTTGTGGGTGTGCGCATGACTGTGTGTCTTCTTGTCTTATCATGCAGGCTGCATCATCCAGCATCGATTGGAAATTATTCTTGAGGGGGTGTTGGCACTACTTAGTAGCAATCCAGTATTGCTGCTGAGTAGTTGCTAAGAAAATAGGAAATGACAGGTGTTCCGTTCCAACCCTGGGCACAAACTAAACAGAGGTGGGGGGGGGGGGGGGGGGGGAGTGGAAAGGCAGCTTGCTGGTGACTCCATGTTCTTTTGCTGATCTCTTAGGGGATCAGCAAAGCTCCTTTTTGAGCCGGCGAAAGTACATCATTGCTAGTGAAACGCGTGAAAACACCAAATTTGTTGTGACCATTGAATGTAAAGAGTTGGAGTGCTCGTGTATTATGATATCGTTGATCCCCAGAAGGCGTCTGTGAGTGAGTTGAAACGCCCAGAAGGGGAGTAAAAATGCAGCTCTTGCCCGAATCAGTCAAAGGAAAAGGTCAAAAACAGGCTGATGAAGGTATAGAAGAGTTAACATAATTATGACTGTTTTCATTGCATACCATCAGAACTGTATCCCTAGTAAATATCTCCTCTCTTTATTTTAAATGGTTAGTGATGTAGACACAACCTGAATTTCTAATGTAACTGTGAGTCATTTTGTGCTAGCATACAGGATGATTGCTGTATCTGATGCACCGCATGGTATTCTACTGACCCCTCCATTACACTTTCCCATCACTCACACAGACCTCACCGCGCTGTGGACAGTCAGTGCTTCTCTCAAACAATTCCCAGCCCTGGACTCGGTGAAGCGGCTGGATGGAACTGCTGCTGCCCAAACATCAAAGAACAATGACTATACTATTCCATCAGAACTCTATTCACAGTTTGTCATTCATCAAATTTCACATTTTCCTTTCACAATTTCATTATTTTCTCACATATCCTTATACTCATCCCATTCTCACAATACTACACATATCACATCCCCCTATAGATCAGGGGCAGGTAAACCCTGTAGGTCAGCTCTTCTACACCCAGCGCTACGCTATCACCGCGGCAACCAGCGATATCGCCATGGTAACTATAGTATTATCTTAGTGGGGTTATGCACTGTTGTCATAGGTAGGTTCCCCATGTGACAGTGGCTCTAGCAGGCTGCTGTTGCATGGGTGTATGCTACTTACCAATGGTGTCATGATGAATTCCTACCCCTCACAGCTAGCGACAAGACGTCTTGGGGCATCGCTATCATCCAGCTCATACCGGTACGTTGCCTATGTTTGGCATTTTGTGTAATGTTGTCATAGGTAGGTTCCCCATGTGACAGTGGTCCTACCAGGCTGCTATTACATGGGCGTATGCTACTAACCGATTGTGTCTTGCGAAGTTTGTTGTCAGCTCACAGCTACTACCGGTATAGCGTGGTCAACCTGCTGTATGCTACCGCCGATAACAGCCAGTCAACCAGCTCTACGCTACTACCCACATCAGCCAGCCAACCAGCTCTACACCAGTATCAGCTCCGGTAGATCAGCCAATGCTTCACTATGACCGTCATCGGTGGTTGATCAGCGCTTCGCTACTACCAGCATCGGGGATGGGTTGATCAGCGCTCCACTGCTACCAGCATCGGGGATGGGTTGATCAGCGCTACGCTACTACCGGCATCGGGGATGGGTTGATCAGCGCTACGCTACTACCAGCATCGGGGATGGGTTGATCAGCGCTTCGCTACTACCGGCATCGGGGATGGGTTGATCAGCGCTACGCTACTACCGGCATCGGGGATGGGTTGATCAGCGCTACGCTACTACTGGCATCGGGGATGAGTTGATCAGCGCTACGCTACTACCGGCATCGGGGATGGGTTGATCAGCGCTTCGCTACTACCGGCATCGGGGATGGGTTGATCAGCGCTACGCTACTACCAGCATCGGGGATGGGTTGATCAGCGCTACGCTACTACCGGCATCGGGGATGGGTTGATCAGCGCTACTCTACTACCGACATCGGGGATGGGTTGATCAGCGCTACGCTACTACCGGCATTGGGGATGGGTTGATCAGCGCGACGCTACTACCGACATCGGGGATGGGTTGATCAGCGCTACGCTACTACCGGCATCGGGGATGGGTTAATTAGCGCTACGCTACTACCGGCATCGGAGATGGGTTGATCAGCGCTACGCTACTACCGGCATCGGGGATGGGTTGATCAGCGCTACGCTACTACCGGCATCGGGGATGGGTTGATCAGCGCTACGCTACTACCGGCATCGGGGATGGGTTGATCAGCGCTACACCACTACAGGCATGGGGGATGGGTTGATCAGCGCTACACTACTACAGGCATAGGGGATGGGTTGATCAACTACTACCGGCATCGAGGATGGGTTGATCAGCGCTACGCTACTACCGGCATCAGGGATGGGTTGATCAGCGCTACACTACTACAGGCATAGGGGATGGGTTGATCAACTACTACCGGCATCGAGGATGGGTTGATCAGCGCTACGCTACTACCGGCATCAGGGATGGGTTGATCAGCGCTCCGCTACTACCGGCATCGGGGATGGGTTGATCAGCGCTACGCTACTACCGGCATCGGAGATGGGTTGATCAGCGCTACGCTACTACCGGCATCGGGGATGGGTTGATCAGCGCTACACCACTACAGGCATCGGGGATGGGTTGATCAGCGCTATGCTACTACCGGCATCGGGATGGGTTGATCAGCGCTACGCTACTACCGGCATTGGCCGCTATGCCCCCACATCACAGTTCTACTGCCCGCCACGGGAAGTCATTACCTCACGCTTCAACCCAACCAATGGAGCTAAAAGTTAAGTACTGCTGTTAATGATCCATGCATTTCATTTTGTGTCTTGCACATGTGTACTTGCACTACTCGTGTGACTTCTTCATTGTGAGTGGGAATGTTGGACTGATGGGTGATTGACACAATACGGATGAATTCTGAGCCGAAGTAATCAATGCCAATTGTAGTAAACTTTCAGCTGTGTAGTTATTTCACGTTCTTTCCTTATCCCTTTGTGTTTGCTACCTTCACATCACTCCTACACTGTCACTTGCAATGAATACCGCTACAAGTTTTGTTTCAAATTCCAGTCTCGTTGCCAACCCTGATATGTGCTTGAATGAACTGCAGTCTGGTGCATTTTGCTTCGGAAACACTTGCCAGTTCTTCATTTTGTATACCTGTTCATTTCCTTCAGGCAACGCCATCCACTCTCCGCGATCTATGCCATCGACATCAGACACCGCTCCATTCCGGGGGTGGAGGCATCCAAAGAAGCACCTCCACCCCAAATAAAATCCAGGTAAATATGTAGAAAACGATATTGAACGCTTCATTTTCTAGCCCAGGGCTTTTGGTAGTGTTCTTGCCCCCCCCCTGCCTGTCTAACCTAGGAACAACTTCACATCGCGTGACAAAACTCATACAATTTATTTGCACCCTGTGCATGATAGACACAGGGTTATAATTATGCAACCCTGCTTTGGATTCAACTCTCTTGCGGTCACTTTGCACTCTTTGCCAGCTTGACTTATTAAAAAGGGGAAATTAAGGCAAAAATTAAAATTTCACCAGTTGTATTCGGGATGCTCAGTCGAATGGTCTTGGTCCGAGAAAGCTGAGACGTTCCCTTCCTACTTGAATCCCAATCGAACTCGCGCACTTCCACCGAAACTGGGTGACTGCGCCCTACGAGATGGGGATTTGTATGCAAAATGTCACTAAAAGCACCATTTCGTTCTTATTAAAGCACGGATGACCGCGATTGGCCCATATGTTGTAGTCTTTTGGACGCTGAGTCGACTGGTTTTGGTCCGAAAAGGCTGCGAAGCAGCGTTCCTCCTTTATTCCCAATTGAACATGGTTGAACAAGCGGTCATGTGCTCCTGAGTGCCGAAATCACCTGGTCACCACGCCAGCAGGCGACAACTTTCACACCAAGGTTCAACTCGAGTTCAACTCGAGTGACAGGACTGCACCCAAAAAAGATCAAACAGGCCTAGTAAGTTGTACCATGCAGGCACGGTGACCAGGTGACTGGTGTACGCAGGAGCACGTGACCGCTTGTTCAACCATGTTCAATTGGGAATAAAGGAGGAACGCTGCTTCGCAGCCTTTTCAGACCAAAACCAGTCGACTCGGCGTCCAAAAGACTACAACATATGAGCCAATCGCGGTCATCTGTGCTTTAATAAGAACGAAATGGCGCTTTT